AACCGCAAAAAGGCAAATGAAAAACCGCAGTGTACCACAGAACTATAATAAAAGGCGGTCACTTATTAGAGAATATTAAAGGTGAGGATACCCAATTATTGACCTAGCGGAGAATATTTTGTTTTTACAAACTTATATTTTCAGGTAGCATTCATCACGGACTGAGATCAGTTGAGAAATCATTGAAAATCTGGGAGCACTGGACAGCTGTTTCATCCTAGTAGGAGACTCCCCAGCAGTACGCACCCACGACTTGGTTAGGGGTTGAACTCAGAACATCTAGGTTTCATGGCGACCGTGTTAACCATTCAGCCATTGGGTCGGAGTCCAATGGTTTATATTCATCTCAAAAAACGTAGATTTACTGTTTCCAAACTCCTTCCGACAGCGTGATAAGAAGAGCACTTTCCCCTACCTGTAAAAAGCTCCTTTATTGGCCTACGCTGATTTCAGTGACTGGCTGCTTTAAATTTTCGACAAGGTTGACATCTTTACTTGGATATGCATTTGCTTGATGTCTGATAGAACTAAGAGCATGGAATCGTCATAAAATATTCAACCAGTTAGCAAATTATATAACGTGTAGTAATTTATTAGAGATGAACTTTACAAATGAAAAAAGGGACTCATATGAAAGCGATCTTAATAGCATGGATTGAAAAATAAACTAAATAAATACAAGAACAGGAAAAAAGTGAGAAGACCTTAAAGTTATAGATGGTAAAATAAAAATAAAATAACAACATCTGAAATTATTACTCTTAACACAGCGCTGAAAGACTGCATATGGGAAGTTGAATTTACATACATGTGTCTACACCGAAAATATCTTCAATAATATATTCTGGTATTCCAGTGGAATGAAACCTCCTTGTTTTCTTAACTGGTTTCACTGCAGACCTATTTACATTTGGCCACAAGTCACAATAAGACAGGAAAGCACGTAGTTTTGATGGAATTGGCAGTTGAGAAACAAGATAGGCATAATTATAATTATTCACCGTAGATGATTTTTTCTGGTTCTCTCTACGACCATCTGAAGCGGAAAACAAACTGTACTTAGAATGTAAAAGTATTTTAGCCCAATAAAATAATAATGCTCATATGTAAACTAGGGGAAACGTGCTCATCCAACAAAAAACTTAGAACACGAAATATTCGGTTTCGCATTTGTAAAAAAATCAAAACGTATATGTCTACTGAATAATCTGAGGGAAATTTGGCCTCCTTTTCCGTCATGAAGCCGCCAAGTAAGTAACACACATGACACCACGAAAGATACAAGCGAAGAAAAACATTAAGTGGCAGTAATTCAGTCGTCATCATCAATATCCACAAAGAACCAGGCATTGCTGCGTAACGGTCCGAGTTGCCACACCTCATATCAGTACATTAAGTAAAAAGTCAATGAAGTGGAAGATGAAGATGAGAAAATCCAGTCGAAAGAAATATAAAGAGAGAAAGGAAGAATGAGAAAATGGTGAGATTCGGTATAGCGTCGTTAAAATGAGGATAATGTGTGTATACATCTGCGCCACTGACATCGGTTCTCAGCCATATCACCTAGAGTCAGTCTCCAACCACTGGTTCCTCTTGTCCCGTGGACCCTAACCACCTAGTCTACATCGTCCTACATGGCTTAAACCAACAGTCAGGGACTTCATACATTGGTGCCATGTTTTAGTCTGGCCACCTCGGGCTTTTTTCCAGCCTGGACCCACCTCAGCCAACATTGTGTGACAAGGCAATCGGTGACTAGGCATACGTGATACGTGTCCCAACCATCTCAGTCGATGAAGGTTCACAACCGTGTCAACTGACTTATCTCTTTTCCCCAAAACTCCACACCTAACTTCTGCATTACTCACATGGTGACACCACGGAATACGGCCTGTACTACGAAGGCAACGATGGTCAAACACTTGAAGCCTTCTCATGTATTCCACCTTCAATGGCCATGTTTCACAGCCATACAGTAGAACAAGCCAGACTGCTGTGCAGTACACGCTACCGTTAATCGACATTCGAATATCACAGCGGCGCCACAGCAAAAGCCAGTAGAGCCTTTTGTATTTGTGCAGAGATTTCATCGGCTGATCCTACTTCCCAGGTAAGTGGAGTAATCAACACACTCAACTATTATACTCTCTATTGTTAGCCGGGGCACCGTTGAAGACCAATCGTAGAGCAGCAATTTGCATTTGGGTGGCGAGAAACGCATCCCAAACATTATCAAATTAGCGCTGAAAGTGTCCAGAGGACTCTACATCTTGTCAGCGTCTTCAGCCAACAGAACTATGTCATCTGCACATTCTAGGTCTAACGAAAATTTTCCTGCGATTAGGTCAGCCTCTGAATAGTTAAATGACGAGAGTGAGACCTCCATAAGAATATCTATGATAAAATTGAATAAGAGTGAAGACAGTGGGCACCCTTGACGGACAACACTTGACGAGCACAGATTCCTGGACATCTCATCATAGGCCCTAACACGCCCACAAGTGTTCGAGTAGAGTGCCTTCAATAAGGCATTGTACTTTTACTCGGCAAGCCTTTCAGTGAGAGACATTGCCATAAGACTTGTCGATCAACGGAGTCGAATGCTGCCTTTAGGTCGAGAAATACAGCTATTGTCGGGCGTCGGTAAGCATGCCTGTTTTGCAGAACCTGGCGCAGTGTGAATATTTGGTCGATACACCCACGGCCAGGTCTAAAGCCTATCTGGTTTTCTCGGGCTTGCTGTTTCCGAGCTCCACTCAGGCGTCGGAGAATTATAGAACTTAGGATCTTAGACACTATGTTTGTCAGGCTGATTCCTCTGTGGTTATCACAAGAGGACTTCTCGCCTTTCTTGAAGACTGGGATGATCAGTGACTTAGACCAGTCGGAGGGGATCGTATTTGATTCCCATATACTGGCTAACACTTCCGTTAGCCTGACTAAGAGAACTCTACCACCATTCTTGTATACCTCAGCAGGTAGTCCGTCTGGTCCTGCTGCCCTTCCCGTTTCAGGCTACCTACCGCTTTCTCAACTTCTTCTAGTGTTGGGGGACCTGTCTCTATGTCCCATTCAGGGTCCGACTGGATAGCGGGCAGCGCAATCGTGGCTGGAGGCCAGTTAAACTGTTCCTCAAAGTGTTCTGCCCATCGTCCCAGTCGCCTTCCCTGCGAGTGAATCGCAGATCCGTCCTTCTCCGCTATAACCTCACTAACTGTTGTTGACCATTTCCCCCCAGTCTCCTTAATAAGTCTAAATAACTGTCTACTGTTACCGATCGCCGCTGCCTTTTCCATCTCTTTAGCCTTTGCTGCCCACCACTGTTCACGATCGTTGCGCAGACTTTTCGTCAGTTTATTTTTAAGTTGCGCTCGCTCTTCATTGTACTCAGAGCCTGCAGGGATGCATTCACGTGCATCCATTAGTTTGGAAGAAGCTGCTGATATCCACTGGCTCTTTTTAGCCATTCTTTTGGAGTCGGCTACAGTCTCCAGTGCTGCTTTTACAGCAGACTGAAGATGGCACCAAGCTTCTTCTGGATGAGTGACAGTTTTTTCCTCCGATAACTGCCTAGCCAACTTCTCACTGAACACGGCTTTGGTGTTTTCGTTGTCCAGCAGAACTCGTAGTGGTTTTGTTGCCAAATTTTTTCTACGTCCATTGAGACGCAGGCATATACGTGCTCGGACCAACGCATGATCGCTGTCCAAACACGTACTCCAGAAGGAGCGGCAGTCTTCCACCGATCCTCTCCAGCGATGACTAATAGCAATGTGGTCTATCTGTGTCCATCGCTGAGTCGAGCTCGGTGGACGCCAGGTCAGACAGTGCCTTTCTTTATGTCTGAAATTTGTGCTGGCTAAAAATAGGCGGTTATCTGAGCATAGTTGTAATAGGCGATCACCGTTATCTGTACGTTCAGCTGGGATTCCGAAAGTGCCACCTAAGTGCCTTTCTGCCTCACTCAGTCTACCCACCTGTGCGTTGAGGTCACCTGCAACAACCACTACGTCCGAACGTTTGGCTTTCGAGAGGAGGTTAGACAGTTTATGGTAGAACTCGTCCTTCACTTCATCCGAACTACAGTCAGTGGGTGCGTAAGCAGAGATTACAAAGAGACAACGGCGAGTCTCACTATTCCTTTTAGTTCTCACTGTGCCGTTCAGCCTCATAGCGCAGAGGCGACTATCAACTGGGATCCAGTCTAGTAGTGAGTTTTCTGCCCTGGTGCTTAATGCTATACCTACACCTGCAATCGAATCTCCAGAAACTCGAAGGGTGAATTTTGCAGATTCACCAGATTGGTCAGGAGAGGTCAGGTGAATAACCACACTTGGGTCCTGTATGCGTGTCTCACAAACACAGCACACATCCATGCCTCGAGTTGCTAGAGTCTTTGCCAACGAAGCCTGTTGGCCAATTTGACGGAGGGTGCGGACATTGAAGGCTCCAATATGTAATTTGGAGCGTGGTTTAAGGAGACCAGGGATGCTGTTCTGTGGACTCAGATCGTTGTCGAAGGCTGCAGAGGTAGGAGAAATTGAAGATGATGCAGCATCATTAATTAAGAGACGTGAAGGAAGATTAGAAGGTAATGATGGAGGAGGAGGATAGCAGTCAGAAGAAACTTGGGTGCTGACAGAGTTGTGAGGGCGGTTGACACTTCCCGGCTGCCCACACCGTGGAAGGCTATTTCTTCTTAAGGTACCTGAAAGAGATTTGTGTGACCGCAGAGCCCATCGGACATCTGCTTGAGGCCTGTCACACCCAGCCTTTTGAGTATGATTATTTTGAACTTTTGTATTTTTGGGGCCGGATAGTCGAAAGGAAACGACAAGTGAACCAACACCGCCGGCCCGGCAGACCGTGGGGTGTGTTATTTTTGGGGCCGACCTTTTCTAACCCCCCTTCCACTGAGAAGGCAGTATCAGCATGGCACTGCTGGTCATCCAAGGGAAACACCTTACTGCTGTCACACCCCATCCAGCTAGCAGCAGTACGACTTCGCCCTCAGACCCCCATCATAGTATAGTAATTTACACCACAACGGTGACTGCTTTTCGTCTAACCACTATCCAACAGACCTTTCTGGTATGGTAGGACCTCGAGGGAACAAGCGTTCCCCCAGCATAGCTCGTTGGGTCATTGTGATATGCAAGCCCAACCACCACATCAAGGTAGCAGGTATCGGTCGGGGTAACTCAGTCGAATTAAACTTTGTTATTTATCCTAGCCCACATAACGAATCCGTGGAAGCAATGCAGAAAAATCTTCAGTTCACTCATTGTAATTTCAGCTATGTGAAGGCTCTATTTGAAAATTTTCTAGGGGTACTCAGCTGAAATTATGCTTGGTAAAGTATCCAGTGCTATTTTCACACTTGTTGCAAGACGCACACAAATAAGAAAGCGTTTATGATAGCTAAATACACGAACTTCAAGGAAGTAAAAGATTCCAAGAAACGTGGAATATTGAAGACTATGCTGATTGAACTTTGTTGTTGCACTTCCCTTGATAAAAGTAACAATAATCCGATGCTTAAAAAGACTTGTGCCCAATGAAGTTATCACTGTCCTTTAACTCATATTCATTGCCATCAAAAACGTTATCGAAATCTATGTTATCTTAGATGTGGGCGCCTTAGTTTTACTTCACAGCTGAGTTATGCCCATTCTACAGACATTTCGATGAAAAAAGAATATATTTTTCAATAACTTCTTTCTCAGGCTTGATGGCGTTTGCTACAATTTTGCTCCCGACTGTATGACTACCCGCTGCTTTCGCTAGTTCGATAAGATTTGGTGCTTGAAGTGATGAGTACTGGGTTCGATACTCAGTGAGGATAGCGTCACTCACTGGAGTGAAGGTGCATCCATCTGACGAGTCCCAAGTAGGACGAAATGTACATCGTGGATCCTACTTGTGATCAATAAGATGAATACCAGTTTTTCCTCTGTTTTGTTTTGGTCACTTGAGAGAAGTATTCCGTGAAATTAAGTCTCACAAGATCAGAAAGCTCATATACGGCATATTGTCGGCAACAGACATTAATTTGTTTCCTGTATATCTACGCAAAAAGACTCGATTTGCTTAAGTGCATATCAATTTTAAGTTGAATTGTTGGGATGCATTTGTGATAGCATGAGATAATGATATGCTTTGATGTAGTTTTATATAAATATACTGTAGTCTTTCCTTCAGTGAGTTTGGCGTTATCCTTGTGGAATTCATTGAAAGCTTTCAACGCAATAGGCTCCTCTCACAACGTTTGAGTTCTTTGAAAATTTTTATCATTATTCAAAGGACAGTTTATTGAACAAAGAATATTCTTTTCAACAGCTTTTCCCTCTTCTTCAGGTGAAGATGCTGTCGCATACACAGTGAAATATTCAGAAAAATCGTGTTGTGGGATTACATTAAAAATTACTTATATAATGATTAGATCAGACTCGGGACTCAAACCAAACCAAATTAATTATAAATTTTGCACTTTACTGCAGATATATGGATGATACATTCACTCTTTGCGAAAAACGCTGGAATAAATCCGAAATGCTCACCAAATTCAATGGAGCGCACAAAGACGTAAAATTCACATGTGAGGAGAAATCATAGCATGAAGTAGTCTTTCTGGAAGTTATTCTTCCAAAAACGAACCAAAAAGTCGGTTAAGACAAATTTATATATGAAAAGTACATGGACAGGACGATGAATACAATTCTTTAGCTTCTTCCTCTTCTAACATAAACAATATGTTGTGAAAACCCTCAGCTACAGATTAGGCACTATATGTTTGGAGGACATGCGCGGTGAAGATTTGAGGATCTTACCCCAAATGAAAATGACTATAGAGAAAAATTCACAAAAAAGCAAAGGGATAATGAGACTAGAAGAGAAATATATTTCATGAGTGAACAAGAAAGCGCTTCCTATGAAAATACAGTTTAAACGCGAAGCAACATAACAGGTACTAATTCAGAGGCTACGGGTGGTGTTTTGCACAGGCTCAATCGTGTTATCGACCCTGAAATATGACTTAACTAGACTGACTTTTTGTTGGGTTTATCAAGTCAGATGCCCCTGTGTAGCCAGTTATGCTGGCCAGTGTTCTAGGAATTAGAGGTTTTTGCTCGTGAACACCTCTCTAAGTGGATAAATAAAGGGGAAATGAAAAGTGCAAATAGATACCGGGAGATGCCATTCCCAAGACAGAAACAGGATTCAGTTCAGTAGATAAGACAAACACTATGTGGACTAGCACTGAAACGATAGAAATTTAAAAGAAACTTGACAAAAGTGGAAATTGGAGCTGTACAAAAACCTTATTACGCCTAGTGAAGCCATTTCTAGATGAATCTAAATGGTTTAATTTAATGAGTGACTGACAAAATCAATGTAGAGCCTCGCATATAAATGCATCAGCTCAAATTGCCACACTTCAAAGTGGTACGCAAAGAATAGGTGGAGAGAAAAAGACTGACATCAAAATAGACAGAGTTATGTGAGAGAATAAACAATTTAAAGATAACGGTTAATGCAAATACTCAAGCTTTAGATGTCAAGGAGTGAATACATCTGCACCATTGTTACCGAATCCCGGTCATGTCAAGAAGAGTCCTCGACCACTCATTCTTATCGTCTCGGGAGCCTCAGCCAGACACCATTCTACATCTCACACGACTCAGACTAGCAGTAAGAGACTTCATGGACTGGTGTCATATCTTTTTCTGGCCACCCAACCTAATCCAACTTCTCCTAACGTAGTATGTCGAAGTGGGCGGTGGCTCGGCGTGCGTAGTACATATCCAAGCTACCCCACCCGATGAGGGTTCACAAGCTCATAGACCAAACTGTCTATCTTGTCTAGTACCCTCCGCCTGACCTCATCACTGCTCATAGGATGTTTTCACCAAACGTGAGCAATGCGACGAAGACAACTAGGATCGAAACCCTGTAATCACTCCACATCTACTTTTAACAACCATGTCTCAATCATATAACAAGAAAGGACAAACTGCAGCGCAGTATATTGGTACTTTGATAGGCAGTCGGATATCTCCCGGACGCCGCAGATGACGCAAGTTGGTGTATGTCGAACGGGGCTTCTGTATCCAAACTGGGATTTCGTTAGAAATCAACCGTTCGGGCTGGTGCAACTCCCCAAGTAAGTGAAGTCGTCGATACATTCCACCACTTCACTCCCAATCCTTAAACTGGGAGTGGTTGCAGACCAGTCCTGGAGCATCATCTTACACTTGAAAGGTGCCAGTGAAAAACACATGCCAAACATACACAGATTTCTGCTCAACACGTTCACAATACCCTGCATTTTAGCCGCAACTCCACCTAACAGGACAATACCATCTCCATACTCCAAGTCAACCACATGACCTTCAGGGAGTAGATCAATCCCTGTGAAGTCAGACGTACCTAAGGTTATGTCCATTAGTACATCTATGACGAAGTTAAGTAGGAACGGTGACAGTCGACTCCCTGCTTAAAACCAATAATTCCAGTAGGATGCATGGTGCTAATTCAACTTACTTATGAATTAGTGATGAATGCGACCAACCTATGCTGAATTCCTTAATAAAAAGGAAACAAGATGGATACTTAGACACTAATGTCAACAAAAAAACCCACACATTCAAAGTGATACTTAGCCTTCAGGTCATTTCATCTCATGTCAGTTAAAATGGGTTTAGTGAAATGTTTAAATAATGCGGCGAAATGTCTAAGCAGTAAAAGAGAAAATTCACGATAGGAGGTAAGACATACAAAAGAAGCCTTAGTACTCAATCATTATCCCCGTAAAATATTTATGAAGGAAGTGCGGAACACAGACACAGATAATATGCATACTAACAATGGTAAAACCAAGAAAAAAGAAAATTCGGAACCTTCTCCGTACTATAAGAAAGGTACCGCAGAAAGTTTACGCAGCATTCTTAACAAAGCTGCGATTAAGGTGGCTTTTCAACGTACAGACTGACTAAAAAACTAATCTTGTAGGTGAAAAGATCCAACACAGTACATTAGACAAAACAATTTAGTTGGTAAGATTCCATGCAATGATATTGAGGTCAAGTTATACAGGTCAAAGTAATTGAACGAGCTCAATTAGAATAACGAAAGCTTGACTGAATCCAGAATCGTAGACCCTAGTAAGTTAATAAACCTATAGAAACGCTTTAGCATTTGAAGCGATAAGTACTGGGTTCGAGTCTCAGTGGGAACAGCATCACTCAGTCGAGTGCAGGTACATCCAGCTTACGAGTCCCAAATAGGAAGAAATGTGCATGCTGGATTCTACTGCTGGACAGAAAGTACAGAATCTCAGTCATGTTGATGTATCCAATCAGACGTAACCACACAAAAGGATGGAACAGAGTGACCGTCCTTAAAAATAACTTAGTGCGGTGAAGGAAGAGGTTGATTACTAAAGCTTTGTTTTTCGAATCAATACCGAAGGCATGCATCAGGAATGATTGAACACCTATTGCTGGTATTTGGGAAATTTTATAACCCATATGACAAACGACGAAGAAACAGAACTATAAAAACAAGATGTAGATATGCATATGAACAATAAATTCTATTCAAAACGTCATCCAGTAAATAATAATAATTCACGGTGTGAAATATTCAACAAATAAACGTAGAGTTATTGTTTTAACTTCACAGTTTACTTTTCTACGTCTCTACAGACATCACTTCCAATTTCCCACGAAAAAGTTCTCGTAATATTTTTCAGCGTAATAAACACATTGTCGTGATCAACTGAATACTTTTCTTCACATTCATCTTTTGATTACAGAATCTTTTTGTAACTGCAGAAGGAGGACTTCTAGAGTACTCTTATCCTGGAGACCTGATGCTGACCCCCTATTAGTCGATCATAGACTTACTTGTTTATTCTTACTATAAATATAATTGTGCAGTTCATGAAAAGGATTCGTTAAAAATAAAACACTTTTTGCAGGCAAACAAGGTGTGTGAATGAACTGATAATATTTCGAGGTGTGGTTATCTAGCGATTCGCTCATGTTCACATGGATGTTCCACAAATTACTTTGCCCGCAATGCTGATGAATTGTTTGTCTGACTGTTTAGGGACTTTCACAGGAAAGGTGACAGTGTGAGCTTTACTCAAAGCTTATCAAATATATCTTCCCTGAATAAAGACATTAGCTGTTTAGTTAAGCTTTCGCAACCAGACCAGTAGTAACAAATTCAGACAATACATCTACACCATAAAAGGAGAGTTGCCGTGTGCACTTACAAAGTGTAACTAATTTACGGCTAGTCGCTTTAAAAAAAAAGTAATTTGGCAATAAAAGTGCTTAAAAACGTCAGAAAAACACAGTGACAACCTTTAACATTACTAGTTATTACAGAATGGTCTGTGTAGGAGAAAAAGCTGCATGACAGGGTTGTATTTATCAGAATGAAACAGCTAACCCTGCTTGAATCACTCAGTAACCAATAATGTTCACCTAGTATTTATGATTTCTTTCTTGTTTTATTTGATTCTTCTTGGAGCTTTTACTCTCGTGTTATAAAACACAGGTTATAGGAACCAGTATAAACACCTATTTATAACTGTGACTTACCAATGAGAAGTGAAATGTGTTTCCTGATTGCAATTCGACAGAGATCCAAGAGACTCAGAGGACCAAATGCGAAGACAGGTTGATGATTACATGTACTAGACAAGTCTAGCATAAGCAACCGATGTGATGCCCATGTAGTAACTAACATACGCCATGTTGTGCTCCGTATATGAATATTTCTACTGAACAAACAGTCTGGGTACGACATACAAGAAATGTCGTGAAAATTAGTCATAGAAACCTGTTTTATAGCTGACCACAGAGAATGAGTAAGTGGACAAGATGGTCCTGACAAAAGCAGTTCAAACAACAAGATAATATTTTCTGCAGTACAACGACGATTGCCTTCATCAAATTCACATGCGTCGAATAGCCACGCCAAGTTAGAAACTTTATCCGGAGAATCATAACTCTACAATTAAAAATTTGAGGGTTCGTTTACGAATCACAAAATATAATTTAAGTAGACAGTTAAAATGAAACCTACATTGGCTACTAGGCGTTTGCGGATTCTCAGTTAAAACTAGCTCGGACAAATATTGACACTCTAAGCTTAACTTCTGAGAGAGACGTGATTTATCATTTGTAAAACAACTTACTCGTTTATTTGACGACTTCTTATAGACTGATATAATATATTCTTTACCAGTTAAAAAGCAAAAGTAAGTTTTAGTAAAGGACAGTGACATTGCGTCATAATTATACAACAAGCAACAGCATTTCCATCGTCATATGTGTAAATATTACTTGCAAGAACAGGTAGACACTTCTTAAATCTATTTGGAAACTCCATTTACATGGAAATAAAGAATGTGTCGTTATATAACACTTAAGAGAAACCATAGAACCGGTAAGAACTAAGTTCTCTTAGCGTATAAGGACTTGTGTTTTCCAGTTGGTATTCATCCTAGACTGATATCAATTGGAGAGCCACTGAAAACCTGAGGGCATTGGACAGCTTTTTTGTCCTATCAAGGAACTCCTTAGCTATATGCACCCATGACCACGCCGGGGATCGAACCAAGGAACCTCAGTTCCTGAGGTCAGCACGTTAACACCGAGTTACTGGATTGGACGAAATAGCTGCCCAATGATCCCAAGTTTTTAATGGTTCTCCAACTGATGTCAGTTCATTATGAACACTGATTGAAACCAGTCAATCCGCACAAACATCCAAACTGAATTACTCTCCAGTGCTCACTGGTAAATCGTGTCTAGATGAGATTCCCGATCTTCTAATGAGACGTCGTGACTGGTGGGACAAAATAAGTCAGAAGTGAAGACAGTTACTCAACGATAGTATTGGATAGAGGTTGTGCTACATCTCGAACTAGCAAAAGTAGGAAAATACAAACCATTGGATCCCGACCCACTGAGTTCGTAGTTACGTGTTTGCCACGGAACCCGAAAGTCCTGGATTTTATCTCTGGCGGGGTCACGGGTGACGAAAGCCGAGGAGTCCCATACTAAAATGAAATAGCTGTCCAGTGCTCTTAGATCTCCAATGGTTCGTGATAAATGCCAACTGGAAATCAATAAATAAATCCCCACAAATCTCCAAATTGAATTACTTTTCTACGCTAGCATCTATTAGCATCTCAAATATCAGTATTATCAGTTAGCTGAGATTTCTACATGATATATTAACGATTGTAAAGGTTATTTATTGGAGAATCGGGTAAAAGAAATAAATACACTGAACTTAAATACAGTTTTAAGAAATTTATTGCCTTTATATTGGTATCATAAGTTACAACCAACTTGTTGAACTGAACTTCGTTCCTAGTCTGCTTATACTGATATTCCATGACTCAGCTGAATAAGGAGTATTTAGTTTACTCATTGATTTGCCGATATGACTCAATATATATTTACGTAAGTTTCGCCACTTTAATCACCCTAATCTTTGAGTTCCCATGTCATCGATAGTCTAGATTGAAATCTGAAGCAGTCAAGTGTTAATATAAGCTAGTTTTATCATTTTTAGGTTAACCAGCAGTATTTTACCTTCGCCATTGGAACTAATACAACCTATTAAAGAGCTTGTAAAAGGAAGCGTAAAATAGTGTCACATTAACGACAATGAAAAAAACGTTTTTAACAAATAGGAAATAATCACTTGTTACACGATTTAATTTCTTACAACAGTGTATCTAATGCTTCTGTGCAAGGTGTAAACGACATTTCATTGATCCTTTATACGTTTAAGCGCATAACCACAAAAAAATCAGCCTGACGAACATAGTGTCAAGATCATAGGTTCTATAATTCTCCGACGCCTGAGTGGAGCTCGGAAACAGCAAGCCAGAGAAAACCAGATAGGCTTTAGACCGGGCCGTGGGTGTATCGTCCAAATATTCACACTGCGCTAGGTTTTGCAAAACAGGCACGCTCACCGACGCCCGACAATAGCTGTATTTCTCGACCTAAAGGCAGCATTCGACTCCGTTGATCGACAAGTCTTATGGCAATGTCTCTCACTGAAAGGCTTGCCGAGTAAAAGTACAATGCCTTATTGAAGGCACTCTACTCGAACACTTGTGGGCGTGTTAGGGCCTATGATGAGATGTCCAGGAATCTGTGCTCGTCAAGTGTTGTCCGTCAAGGGTGCCCACTGTCTTCACTCTTATTCAATTTTATCATAGATATTCTTATGGAGGTCTCACTCTCGTCATTTAACTATTCAGAGGCTGACCTAATCGCAGGAAAATTTTCGTTAGACCTAGAATGTGCAGATGACATAGTTCTGTTGGCTGAAGACGCTGACAAGATGTAGAGTCCTCTGGACACTTTCAGCGCTAATTTGATAATGTTTGGGATGCGTTTCTCGCCACCCAAATGCAAATTGCTGCTCTACGATTGGTCTTCAACGGTGCCCCGGCTAACAATAGAGAGTATAATAGTTGAGTGTGTTGATTACTCCACTTACCTGGGAAGTAGGATCAGCCGATGAAATCTCTGCACAAATACAAAAGGCTCTACTGGCTTTTGCTGTGGCGCCGCTGTGATATTCGAATGTCGATTAACGGTAGCGTGTACTGCACAGCAGTCTGGCTTGTTCTACTGTATGGCTGTGAAACATGGCCATTGAAGGTGGAATACATGAGAAGGCTTCAAGTGTTTGACCATCGTTGCCTTCGTAGTACAGGCCGTATTCCGTGGTGTCACCATGTGAGTAATGCAGAAGTTAGGTGTGGAGTTTTGGGTAAAAGAGATAAGTCAGTTGACACGGTTGTGAACCTCCATCGACTGAGATGGTTGGGACACGTATCACGTATGCCTAGTCACCGATCGCCTTGTCACACAATGTTGGCTGAGGTGGGTCCAGGCTGGAAAAAAGCCCGAGGTGGCCAGACTAAAACATGGCACCAATGTATGAAGTCCCTGACTGTTGGTTTAAGCCATGTAGGACGATGCAGACTAGGTGGTTAGGGTCCACGGGACAAGAGGAACCAGTGGTTGGAGACTGACTCTAGGTGATATGGCTGAGAACCGATGTCAGTGGCGCAGATGTATACACACATTATCCTCATTTTAACGACGCTATACCGAATCTCACCATTTTCTCATTCTTCCTTTCTCTCTTCCTCTCTCTCCTTTCTCTCTTTATATTTCTTTTGACTGGATTTTCTCATCTTCATCTTCCACTTCATTGACTTTTTACTTGATGTACTGGTATGAGGTGTGGCAACTCGGACCGTTACGCAGCAATGCCTGGTTCTCTGTGGATGTCGATGATGATGACGACTGAATTACTGCCACTTAATGTTTTTCTTCGCTTGTATCTTTCGTGGTGTCATGTGTGTTACTCACTCGGACCGTTACGCAGCAATGCCTGGTTCTATGTTGATTTGGATGGATTAATTGCAAAAAGATATGACACTCGACGAAAGATAAGCAATAAGTCATCAAGAAAGAAGAGACAACTCAGTGAAGTATAACTTCCTTTTTGATAATATTTCGAAGTTTGTTTCATTGAAAATCTAACAATAACAAGAAATGAACTGTTATGCTATGCTATTACAATATCTTTGAATAATGCTGAGGTGTTTCTTGACTCAGAAGTCAAGATTAATTATAAGAATGGAAAACAAGAAGAAGCAATGGCTTTCTTATGCTGTTGTGGCAATTAACTATAACACACTTAAGAGGTATGATATTTATAGCATCGCTTATGGTATTTACTAGACAATTAATAGGATGGTTGATAGTGGCTGGCAGTGAAATCCAGGACGCAAGTTACGTCCTATTTGTTGGGACTCGTCAGGTGAGTATACCTGCCTACCAGTGAGCGACGTTGTCCCGCCGAGACTCGAACCCGGCACCAATCACTTAAAACGCTAGAGCGCTTTTCGCTGGGCCACTGAGTCATGACACCCACTTCTTGTGTGGCGGGCATAGTTTTTATGTGGTTGCTAGCCACTATCCATAATCACTACAAAACTGAAACGACAGGCAATATCAAAGCATCCGTGCAGGAGCTAATATGCCAATAGAGACCGATCAATCCGGTCCAAACGACGACGGGACAATACAAGCAACAACATAAAATGAATAGGTTGATTTGAAATAATGTGATTGTCAGTATGTCGGTTAATAGTGATAGTATCGCTACTCAGTAAATCTAATCATAGATAAATAGTAATAAAGTAAAATAATATAAGGTGGTACTTCTCTCTATACTGTAGGTTTTCTAGAAAATAATCTTGTTTCCCAACATGAACTTAGACGTTAGGGGGATTTCAGACTGCTCAGTGCTTTTTAACTCAAATTTAAGAATTATTCAGCGAAATTACCAACAGGTAGCCGTAGAAGCTTTTATTATTGGAAATGTGCAACTTACGTGATTTAATACTTCTGAAATCAGTTCGATAGAAGAAGGTTCAATCAGAAGAAGGTCAACAGAAAATGCATTTTTGTCGTAAGAATAAGACAAACGAGAATGTGATGCAAGAGAATACACAACAGGGAAGTAATGTCGCCTCATAGCCAGTTGTAATGGACTGTGACCAAGAGAGTTAGGGCGCTCTGAATTCCAACAGAAAGGTGGGTTAATGAGAAGATTGACGCATCGACTAGCCGACTGATGAACAGCAAACTAAAATACGGGATTAAGTAAAAAAAAATGGTCACCATCTTAAGGCATAAAATAAAGGTTTAACCATAGTATATTTAGTAAGGAGCAATAATCTGAACGAAGAATATTCTTCTTAATAAATTCTTATCAGGTTCTACATTTATAAAATGCATTTTTACAGCCTAAAAACATTAGTTTACTGAAATCCAAGGGAGGAATAACGCTTAAACATGTTGTTTCTGAATCCCAAGTTCAGGTGTGATCATTCCTATTGAGACATCCTCAGCTATGTTGGGTAGGCGTTGGTGAGAGCTACACGTGGTATTGTTTTTGGAACACGACGTATGATATTAAACCTTTATTAGCATACATGTGATGTCCTGTGTCTAGTAGGGAACTTCTCACCACTTTTACTTCACTTTGGCCGAACCCAGCTGGTAGATGCTCTCATATCTGGTGACGCATCTGCTTAATCGTGCGCCCCATGTGACTTGTTCCACAGAAACAGTTAAACTGATATACGCAAGATGAAGAGATAAGGTTGGAAGTTGGCTATCCTTTGGTCTCGCATTGGCCAACTACTGAAGGATATGCAAAGACGACCTCCATGAAATGCTCTATATTTCACTGTCCCACATTTCCATACCAATTCCTACCCCTATTATTGCTAGCACCGTGTCATGACATCGTTTCAAATCTGTATTTTGAGAGTTGTATTCATCAACTACGTGGGCATTTCTGTTTTAGTTGAAACAAAAACTTGGTACATGGATGCTACGAAATGCGCCACATAACATAATCCAACAACACTACCAGGCTGAAAACAAATACGTAGGGAAAGAAAAAAGGTAGTCAAAAAGTTTTCTTAGCGAGATAATGTTTGATAAGACTGTTGCCAATTTTATGTCACTTTCCACGAACACATGACTAACAACTACAAGCCATATTTCTCAAATCACTGTGAAGCGTGGTGTTTTGGATTTCTTCCAGATAATGTGTTGTACCAGATAGTGACCAAACACAACTATCTTTTAACCTAATACACCACATTGAAAATGAATATCCACCCACTGCTCCCAATCTATCTTAGATTCTTTTTTTTCTGAACAGCGCCATGCTTTTACCGTACTGCTTTCTGAATTTCGTTGACAGGCGTGTTAATAATTCTACGTCATTTTTAATTTCTCCCAGCTCGACAGTCTATGATAACCATTCAAGGGCACGTGTTATGGATGTCACTGTTTGCCTTGTAGCTCAATTTTCTCTGAAGTATACTCTGGCTAGGAAAAGGCTCGGCGCGGTCAGACTAAAACATGACATCACTATATGAAGTCTTTGACCGTTGATCTGAGCTGTGCAGGGAAATGTAAGCTAGCCAGTTGGAGTTCGCGTGACGATAAAAACCAGAGGTTACAGACTCAGGGTGATATGGCTTAGAATCGATTTCAGTAGTGCACATGAATCCAAACATTATCGTCTTCTTTATCGTTATATTGAATTCAGAATTTTCGCATTCCTTCTTCTCCTTTGCTTTATACTGCATTTGACCGGTTCCTTTTTATCTTTTCATCTTTCATCTTACTGTCTTGCTACTGGATGTGCTGATACGATGTGTGATAACTTAAACTGTTGCGTGGTCTTATGTTGGTATTGGTGATGGTGGGCAGTTTGAGCCCATGTGACAGCTTCCTTGGTCTCCTGAATCCACGCTAAAGCTATACACTGGTCTAGAGATTCGTCAGTTAGTTTTCGCATGCTTCCAGGTGTACGTATAACACTAAATGGTAGGGCAGAAAGTGTGCTACTCAACTAAATCCTAGTTGACAGTCAAACTTCTGCTATTCGACTAAATGCTACAGTCAAGACTAAAAAGGATAATGAAGCTCGCCATACTCTCTCTATAATTTCTACTCACGCACTCACCGATTGCAGTTCGGATGGATTAACGGATGAGTTCTACCGAAAACTATCTAGCGTACTACTGAAAACCAAAAGTTCAGATACGGCTGTTGTAACAGATGATTTCAATTCAAAAGTAGGTAGGTTAAGCTAAAGATATTTATGTGGCACTTTCGGGATCCCAGCTGAACAAATGGATTGTGGCGACCACCAGCTACACCTATGCTCGGGTAACCACCACGCTATTTGTTCCGTATCAAGGCGCGAACATTGAAGGTGGTATCACCATCATCATTATCAACATAGGACCAAGCATTACTGCGTAACAGTCCGAGTTGCCACACCTCATATCAGTACATCAAGTAAAAAGTCAATGAAGTGGAAGATGAAGATGAGAAAATCCAGTCAAAAGAAATATAAAGAGAGAAAGGAGAGAGAGGAAGAGAGAAAGGAAGAATGAGAAAATGGTGAGATTCGGTATAGCGTCGTTAAAATGAGGATAATGTGTGTATACATCTGCGCCACTGACATCGGTTCTCAGCCATATCACCTAGAGTCAGTCTCCAACCACTGGTTCCTCTTGTCCCGTGGACCCTAACCACCTAGTCTGCATCGTCCTACATGGCTTAAACCAACAGTCAGGGACTTCATACATTGGTGCCATGTTTTAGTCTGGCCACCTCGGGCTTTTTTCCAGCCTGGACCCACCTCAGCCAACATTGTGTGACAAGGCGATCGGTGACTAGGCATACGTGATACGTGTCCCAACCATCTCAGTCGATGGAGGTTCACAACCGTGTCAACTGACTTATCTCTTTTACCCAAAACTCCACACCTAACTTCTGCATTACTCACATGGTGACACCACGGAATACGGCCTGTACTACGAAGGCAACGATGGTCAAACACCTGAAGCCTCTTTTTATCCTCCACTTTCAATGGCCATGTTTCACAGCCATACAGTAGAACAGGCCAGACTGCTGTGCAGTACACGCGACCCTTAATAGACAAACGAATATCACGGCGGCGCCATAGGTGGCGCAAATTGGCAAAAGCCAATCGAGCCTTTTGTATTTGTGCAGAAATCTCATCGGCAACTAACCCACCGAAGATGGTAAGCCTCAATGATAGGTGTGGTTTCAGAAAAGTTGAGTCAAACATCGGACTGTAGGACAGATTTCTCGAGGCAACTACTCAGCCATTCAGGAAAAATACGAACTGATCAAAATTACAAAAAACGGTCAGCGGTTGAAGGGAATGACGACTGGGGTACATGTAAAAATGACTAGAACGAAACAACTCAATTAACAGTGTAATGACAACGGAAAAGGCCGTCGAAAGCGTCGACTGAGAAGTAATTTGATAGGCAGTTGCTTCAACTCTACGGAGTGCCACAAATCTTTACCAACCTCATTCAACAACTATATGCTATACGATGCTACATACCGAGTGATTCACAATGGAAAAGTCAGCGACGTGTTTGAAGTGAAGACAGGAGTAAGACAAGGCTGCCGCCTACTATTACCGATGATCTTCCTGATTGTCGTCGACTGGGTTATGCAACAAACCGTGACGAGCAAGAAGAGGGGGATACGCTGGCTGGACTGGGGAAAATAGTCTAGAAGATTTGGATTTCACCCATGATGATTTATGTCTAATGTCTTGTGGCACAAACTCGAAGATCTACAACCAGAAGCCAACAAGTTGACAGAAGAGGCAGAGCAGCGAAGACGGGACTTCACGTGAACGTAGAGAAGACAGAGGTAAGGAAGATACCCACCCAACAACAGCATGAATAACAAGAGGCACCAATCACTATCATCGGGAAAAACCTAAAGGAAGTAGTCTCTTTCACCTACCTAGGCAGGCAGCATCATTTCAACTACAGGCGACATAGGCACAGATGAGGTTGTCAAAGCCAGGATCGGAAAGACAACAAGACAGCCCTTCATTGATCTGAAATCAATGTGGAGATCTACTGCACTGCACTCAGTATAAAGCTAGAACAAGATTCCGATTTTCAACATCAATATCAAGTCAGTGCTTCTATATGGTTCAGAAACTTGGGGCGTTACGGAAAGCATTTCCAACAAACTTCAAACATTTATCAACAGCTGCCGCCTACGCTCACTCAATACCGAAGATCAGATGCCCAGAATAACAAGAATAAGCAACTGAAAACTCTGACTGGCAACGAACCAACCAACCAAGAACCTATCGCCCAACAAATAAGCAGAAGGAAGTGGGGATGGATTGGATTGGGCATATATTGAGAAGGCCGACTGGGGACATCGCGTGCCAGGTCAGGCTCTCGAGTGGAAGTCAAATGGGAAACGATGAGTTGGGCGTCCGAAGGTGACATGGAGGAGATGGTGTGAGGACGAAATGAAAGCTTCTGGGCAGTCGTGGTGCCAGGTTAAAAAGACTGCAGAGAAGAGAGTGAAATGGAGGCGTGCTACTAAAGCCTCATGTTCCACTAGGAACCCAAGGGAGAAGTAATAATAATGATAATAATTATAGAAGTATATGAACAAAAAGTATCTGAAGGTCTAAAGTTGGACTAATTTTGCACCGAGGTGCAGTGACAGACATTGGGTGACGAACTTCCGGAGGCATTTTGAAATTGCGAATGAATAGAATGGGTGTAAATATGAGTCAAACACAACTAATGCATAGATGAATTATTTTCTCGCGAAAATTTACAAAATAGGAAGAAAGGTGATCTATAGGTGCCAATCCATGAAGAATGTATTCTGGATAACCATCCACTACAAAGTTGAGGGGAATAACACTGTAAGCATGCTGACAGCTGTCGTAATTCATTGACTCTACCAGATTACTGATCCTTGTTTTCTGTCATGCGCTTTTTTAGTCTCCTTTCATTACGTTCACTATACCAGTTTACATTACTTTGTAAGCAATAGAAATCAGAATTTATCCGATTATAGGTCTTTGTGGGACATTAAATCAGCACAGAACCCCGACCACACAAGTGCATCGGTTCAGCTTGCCACAAGTGGTAGACAAAGGTGTATAGGAGCTGGATTAGAATGAAAACCAAGGTTAGTGAATATATTTAAACCTTAGAAGACGTTAAAGAGTGAATACAGCCGTACCATAGTGACTGCATTTTAACCATGTCACTAAAGGTTCCCCAACCACTGATTTCCACTGTCGCGATGAACCCATCCAGGTAGTCCACACTTGGATACAAAGTTCAGACCGACGGTCAGACTTTACGGAGTGGTCTAGCTACCGTGAGCCGTCTTGTAATATGGTTTTACTTCGGCTAACATGGTTCTTAGAGGTAAGGGGTGGTTCAGCTTGTGAAACATGCCGAAGGAGTCTTAGTTAGTGGAGGCTTACGAACCCATTAACTAGCTTGCCCAGTACCATTCGTCTAACCTTGACATTGACCATATAATGATTCCACTTTACGCGAGCAATGCCGAGAAAACACCTGTAGTGAAAGCCTACAATCTCTTCATACCTGCCTTCAGCAGCCGTCTCAGTAAAGATCAAACGGTAGTGCAGTATACTCGTCCCTTCTGTTAGTTAGATATCTCACCGGTGTCAGCAATGATACAAACTGGCAAGTATCTAAGTAGGTATGTTGGCTCTTTGTAACCAGATTGGTCTAATTGTGTGGCGAGCAGCAGTGATTATGATAGCCAGTTGTCTGCCATCGTGTACTAACACGAATTCTACCTACGTTTCTTAAGGACATAAGTAGTATGCAGTTATTATACCAATATATTGGTACAACTCAATCTGTCTTAACCTTAAATATGCAGCATCGCATTATTCCTACCAGAAGGTTAGAGATAGTCCAATATCCTTTTATGAGCTAGTGTAAGCCAAATGATTTCTTCCCGCTCGCCTTTAGGACTTCAGAAACGTTTCCAGGTCTTTGGCGGATCCCGATGCAGTAAGTCTACCCATTCGCCTGCTGTAACTCCGGTTAGCCCAACGACAGAAAGCCGTATAATATGAACCACTCCGCTAAATAACAACCACAAAACGGTATCAAAATGGGGTTAGACATCCAATATCTGTGTAAACCAGGTGTTTTTTTTTGCTCGCTTCTTGGTCTTGCGGAACGCTTCCAAGTCTTTGGAGGATCCCGATACAGTAGATCCAACCACTAGCCTGCTATAGCTCTGGTATACAGAACAGGACGTTAAGTGTTGGTTAGTTCGCCTTGGACTGTGGTACAGTTGGCTTCTTCAGACATGAGATCAATTATAAAACCAGTGAATCATTGTTGGGATATTCCAAAGAACAATCCCACATTTTATATGTAAGTCAACGCTGTTACCCAGTGCTCGATCGCGTGAAGATTACATATGGGAATAAAAAGTCACGAAAGACAAGAACCCAGTCTGGTAATAATGGAGACATGAAGGGGGAAAGTGAAAAATAAAGAGGAATTGAAGGGGAAAAGTAGACAATGATTGGGAAGTCGCATAAAAAAAGGCTGAATAGGAGGGGAGAAAGTGATTTCGTGGAGTCGTATTCGAGTCAGCAGATGAGAGGAATCAGATTCTGAAGAGTGCTCACAGGCTTCAAGGATCTGGCTCTTGCTGATGGAATTAAAAAACGAGGAGCAGAAGCAGAACTAAAATCCAGATTAGCAGCTGGAGAGCAAGATCTGAAAGTAGTGGGTTTTCGTGTAGTGAGGCTTCGGCAACCAATGATGCCGAAGCCTCTATGGATAGGACGGAAACTCATTCAAGTAGTTTCGTTGTCTTGTACACAAATGCGCGTAGTCTTTTCAATAAGTGGACTGAGCTTAGTAATGTGATAAGCAACGAAAGCCGTGACATCATTGCTATCTCAGAAACTTGGTTCTCTTCTTGGACCAGTGACTGTTAAACACACTTACGAGGATTCATCCCTTTTAGAAGTGACAGGTTAGTACACAAAGGTGGTGTCATCCTTTACGTTAAGAATAACTTAACCGTAAAAGCCGTAGAAGCAGTTGCACATGAAAGTGGGACATGTGAAATGCTGCGCTGCCGACTAAAAATCAAGGAGCAAAATGTTAACGTAATCGTGATATATCCAAGCCCTGAATGTGATGCAGCAGACTTCCTCCTGAATAAGCTGATCAACGCACCACCAGTTGACTGGGATAGATTAACAACAAAAGCACCACGAAATTCGTTTGACCACCGGTTAGTGGAAACATCAATTTCCTCAGCCTTTATACAGCCCATTAGGACACCCAGACATGATCACCAGCGTGCTCCATCAGTTCTGAACTTAGTATTCTCATATATAGATGATGTGTGCTTCATCCGGTACCTAGCACCCCTTGGCAAAAGTGATCACGCTGTGATCATCTTCAGGTTCACAGCAGACGTCTTGTACCAGGCCGATGCCCCAGCTAGACCCATGTGAAAAGCAAATATGGAAGCTATTAACCTGGCAGCCTCTTTGAAGGTGCGTGGTCCTCCTTCAAACAGTTATATGCACGAGTGACCCAACCGTTCATTCCATGGACTGTCCAGAAGGGACAGAAACACCGTCCTTCGTGGATAAACCACGAAATTCGAATCTTGCTACGACGCAAGAAAAAGTGTTGGAATCTTGCCACCCACCTCGGTACACCCGAAGTAGTGAACCATTACAAAGAAGCTCGCAACAAATGTATCGCTGCTATCCGCGGGTCTCGAATACACTTTGAAATACGTCTTGTCCAGGCTGAATTGCAACATCCGAAGAGGTCGTTTCTCCACATGTACTACAGAGTTAAGACATGTCGTGGTATACCCGCCCTAATCAATGGGACAGAAAATGGCTGTTTTATTGAGGACAATAGGGAAAAAGCAGAAGCCATGGCTGGATATTTTGCTGAGGTCTTCAAACAGGAATCCTCTGTGGACACTTATCCAACAGTAGAAGCATTGACATCTAACAGAATAAACTCTGTGAATGTCGATCGTAATGATGTATTTCGGACATTAAGTACTCTCGATGTGGGAAAATCAACTGGACCGGATGAGTTGCACCCAAGGCTGCTCAGAGAGCTTGCCGGCCGATTGAGTATTACATTCAGACTGTCTTTCAGTGAAGACACACTACCCTATGACTGGAAGGATGCCATAGTAACACCTATCCACAACGCAGGTTCTAGGCAGCTCCCATAAAATTACAGACCGATAAGTTTGACTAGTACTGTAGTGAAAATCCTATAAAGAGTAATCAAGAAAGCCATCATAGTCCACCTAGAGAGCAACACTATATTGTCTCGTTCACAGCACGGTTTTCGTAGAAATTTCTCTTGCTTGACGAACCTTCTTACAGCCAGAGAAAGTTGAGTTAGGTCTAAAGACGATAGGATACCGGTAGATGTCATTTTCATTGACTTTAGTAAAGCGTTCGACAGAGTACCTCATTCCAGGAAGTTTTGGAATCAATGACAGTCTGCCCTCATGGATAAGAGACTTTCTTGTTGGTAGGAGACAAAGAGTTGGGATCAATTCTCAACTCTCCAATTGGAAGTCAGCAGAGAGTGGAGTGCCGCAAGGCACATTCCTGGGCCCCCTACTATTTCTCCTATACGTAAGTGATGTGCCAAACATCACGAAATCCCCTATGGTTCTCTACGCTGATGATGTAAAAATCTGGCGGGAAATTAGGAACGATGAGGATATACGTGCGCTTCAGGTAGACCCGAACAGCTTGTTTGCCTGGTCAGAGAAGTGGCTGATGCCTATAAATGAAGGTAAATGTGTGAGCATGCACTTGGGTCACATACAGCAACATCTACGATATTGATGGAACTTCTTTACCGTCAGTACTGACCCACAATGACCTAGGAGTCACGGTTAGTTATGACTTGGAAACCATGGCTCATTGCTGATTGGTAGCAGCTCGGAGTTTTAGGATACTTTGGGCAGTACCCAGAAGGTTTACGAAAATAAGTGGTAACATGTTCACCATCTTATACACATCCTTAGTTGGGTCCAAATTAGAAAACTGTACACAGGCGGCTAATCCTTGTCTGAAAGGTGACGCAGACCTTATAGAAAGAGTTCAGAAAGCAGACACTAGTATGATCCCTGAGATGGCCGGCCTATGAAGAATGACTTAAGGAGCTGAACCTCTTCACTTTGTCCTACCGCAGACAGGGGAGACCTAATCATGCTATACAGGATCCTAAGAAATGACTTTGGACTTGATCTATCTTCTCTTTTCCTACCCACCAGGTCGGAACACCTCAGAGGACACAGTAGGAGACTACAAGAGTAAAGAACGAACATAGTCTCCGCAGAGTACTGGTTCTCGCTTCGAGTAATCAATGCCTGGAACTGACTCCCAGAAGAAGTGGTGTCCGCATCATCAGTCGACTCGTTCAAAAGGGGATTGGACAAGCACAGAAATCTACTGGAAAAGGATTAATATAGGCTTCCAGCCTCCTATCCTCAAACAACAACGAATCTGAAGAGTGGACAATGATTGGGAAGTTGCATAAAAAAGGCTGAATAGGAGGGAGAAAAGCGATTTCATGGAGGAAAGTGAACATATTTCCCCCTTTTTGATCCCTTAGGGAGCACTGAAACTTAGATGACATTGGATATAACAATTTATATGTGGTCCTAAGACTGGAGGACATACATGTAACAGATTTTCGCGGACCTGTGGATTTACGTAACATTCTTCCGTCACCGATTCACCTGAAAGCAGACATTCTCTGTGACGCACCAAAGCAAGTAGTTTTTCACGACAATCATCTTTTATAGCGATTTCTGCCTTTTCTAAAGGACTGGAGAACTTGTCTAAAATAGTAGCCATGTTTGACTTCAAAAAGACTTGGAATTTTGAAGGTTTACAAAACCGGTGATGTATGTCCTGAATGGACGTGTCGGACTCGAACTTCCGAATAAAGCTGTAAGCGGAGACAGTAGAGAGGCGGCTGTTCACCTGAAGGTCACGTAACGACCTATAAACTTCAAACTTCGTGTTGTAGAACTAGCGAACTGCGGTTCCAATATCCAATATCCAATATTGATAGTGCGAGCGTAGAAAACTAGTAGTTTTTGATCTCTCGCGTCTAGTTCTTAGGGCTTGGTTCCAGTTGTTCGGTTTACTCCTGCAGTGGACGAGGAAATCCCCTCTGCTTTCTTGCTTTTAGCTTCGGTGAGGTGGATGTTTTGTGGGTTAGTAGGTTGTAATTTGTAGAGTGATTAGGGAGCTACGGGTTGCTGGGAAGTTTAGAGAACTGCCATGACTCCTGTCTGTGTAGGTACCTGGAAGAGAATAGTAAGGTAGTGGTAAAGGAATGAAGAGAGAATAAAGAAGAGAGTGAAGTAGCACCATAGAGACTCTGGGAGCTGGGTTAAGGCCGTATCGCTAACCATCCTTGCCTTTAAACAGGAGTTTGCGTAGATAGCCACTCCCCCTCCTGCTCTATGTTCCCTGTCCCTGCGGAAGAGTTCCATGCCAGCAACACGCATCTCTTCGTCGGAGATGTCCGACGAGAGCCAGGATTCGGTGATGAATATGATGTCGGAGTGCTGATGTTCACGCAGCGTCCTCATTTTTGCTACCTTCCCTATTAGCCCCCTAACGTTGCTGTACATACATATTAGAGTGTACCTGATGAGAGGGGAGGTCTGGATGTGTATTTTCGCGGGATGAGCGCTTACGTGGTTGAATTTAGCCTCGCCAGTCCTCATAGGACTGGCATTGTTCCGTTTTTTTGTGTTTTGTTCTTAACTTGGGTGGGGGCTGTAGCAGTGGTGGCTTCTTTACTTGATGTATCTAACTCACTGGTCAGCGCCTGTGTGACGACCACTGACTCCAGAGGTCTTGGTGGTTGCCGTCTCTCCTCTTGCCTTGTGGGTCTAGGCTTACTTTCACATATACGTATTGAGCCACCCATGCGATCTTTCGCATTATACCATGCGTGCAGAACGTCTGTGAGGGAGGCATATGAGTCGAACTGGACGGCAAGTAGTCTGGGATTGGGTATGGTCTTCAGGTGCGCTGGCCTTGGCAGTCTACTGACGCTGTTGGCCGGTATACTGTTGAGACCAACTTTGGTTGAGAGCCATTGCCATTGTTGGACGTCGTGAAAGTACCGATCTTTGACCGAGCTGTCACTTGGCAATTCTGGAATCCCATGTACAACTATAGTGTTGTTTCTGTTGGGATTTCCAACCGCTGACTTTCTCTCCTCCTCTCTTACTGACCATGGCTTGTCAGGCCTGGCCCGAATTTTACAGGCATTAACAACGTCCGGTTGTCGTGAGAGGAGGAGTGTGTCTTCAGCCTCTTTGGCGGTATTTAGGGACACACGTAAAGGGGGGGCTTATCTCGGGGTGCATGGCTTCCTCGAGAAAGGCGACATAAAGTTGCAGGGAGGGGAGGGAGTCCCAGCATCTGACAGTAGTCGGTCCACATTCGGCTGTCAAATTGTTCCCTCTCGACCAACAATGAGTCTGTCGATACATCGACGTTGAACAAAATGATCGAGTTGGTCCTCCTGTGACCTGGGTTCGTTGTGGGTGGCACGCCCGACTTACCAATGGGTTTGAGTAATTCCACTGGTTGTTTCTCAGTCACGGTGTGTGGGGTGTTCGGAATGGGTTTCGTAGAGGCTTCGGCGGTCGATGTCTTTGGCCATGCGCTTGACGTCCCCTGGGGCCGGGTGGGGGTATGGAGACTTGACCTAATATGGTCCCCACGCGAGATGGCGTGCCCACAGCTGGAGCTCTAGGTCTGTTTCCAGGTCTCTCTGTGTTATCCTTTGGTGTTAACCCTACCTTATTCGGGGATGCTGGTAGCTTTTGCGTGGCGGAGAGCATCTCCTTCAGGCTTTCTGTGCGGAGTGCGGGCATTTTCCTGCACTCTGGACAGATGTACCAGAACCACTTGCATGGTTGTCTCTTCATCAGCTTATAGTATTGTCGGGGGACTTTGGTATCGCAGTGGCAATGCACCCATCGTTGACACAGGTTGCATGCAAATGCCTCATCGACTACCGAAACAACTTTGGTGCAAACACTGCAGCCATCGGGTGTCGTAATACAGCCTTCCTTCCATGAATAAGGTGCTACGGATTGTGGCGAACTGCTTGTGGCTGCCTTGTTCTGAAGCCTTTTACGTCGTCTTCTATGTTCAGGCATGGTATGATCCTTGCTCAAGATAGGACTAGTTTGTGACGGGTTAGTGCTACTCTGTGTCACCTGTCTGATGGCTACTGGAATTCTAGAAACATGGGTTGGCCACTTCTTCAGAAGTTCGATGTTCTGCCCTACCTCTGTTTGTCTTCTAGTACAGACTAGTGTGTTGTTTAGGGTGTTACTGGCCGTTGTTGTGCACGACCGCGTTATCCGTGTCAAAGCTTCAGACCTAGCGTTTTGGGCAGACATGTCGCTATGATATAAACTTCTTGGGAAAACAAGTAGTTAACAACAATAAGAGGGTTGAAGACTGAATGCAGGAAAAGGACAGAATAGAAAAGGGAAGATAATTTATGTTGGCTCACCTTCAGACACTTGTCACTTGATCCTCTGCTCTTGACCAACGAGTTTAACCGTAAGCTCCAGATGCGTATGTATAACCAGGAAGATATTTCCTGGGGAATGACCTCCGAGGAGAACCGAGAGCTAAGGCAGTTTGGCAGCTGAAACGCCCAAGAACCACTGACAGGAGGTAGACCGGTTGGTTCAAAGGAATAATAATGCCAATTTTCAACTGTTGAGGAGTGAGCTGACGAATGCGCAGGGGTGAGGTGCGTGGACGGACAGAAGTGCTGCAAACGTTCGATGTTTTTAGATTGAGTATTGAAAGTGGGAGTTTTTCATTGTGGAAAAATCCAAAAGCTGAGAGACGAGCGAAACACGTCACTACCCAAGGAGCGCGCCACCCTTGGGTTCTACGTCTGTCTTATTGGAATACATCCTGGTCACAATTATCTTCCTGGTTCTGAAAAATCTGAAAGGGCGGAGAAACGATAATTAATTAATCTGGTCTCAAGGTAGTAATACTGCATCTGATCTGGGGAAAGCTTCTCGAGTATAGCCCATCGGTACCGTAGGACTCGAGGTGTGCGTCTAACCTCTTTTTCAAAGTGTCAGAGGATGATGCAGCTGAAGGGAGGGAGTCCCACAGTTTACAGGCTTTAATCGCAAATGAGTTAGCACTGATCTTTGAACGTCCTCTCTCATGCTCTATTCTTAACGGGTGACCCCTCAAGTCCCATTTCCGACTAAAGCTTAGAAGGGATCTGTTGGGATGGAGAGGATTATGGGCGGTGTGGTACATCATGATCATATCCCCTCTGATCCTCCGGTATTGTACTGGGTGCAGCTGAAGAGCAACTAAGCGGTCTGGGTACGGTTTGTGCCGTAACCCAATCACTTTCTTTGTAGCTCTTCTCTGTCCCCTTTCTAGGATGGCAATGTCCTTTTTCAAGTATGGGGACATTACAAGCGAATTTTTTTCTAAATGAGGACGAATGTACAAAGCATACACTGTGGTGAAAAAAGAAGGAGTTAGACACCCTAAGGTTCGCGAGAGAAACCCCAAGATTCCATTAGCCCTATTGGCTGCAAGGCGACAGTGAACAGAGGCTCCTAGCGTATCATTTAGTGTAACTTCCAGATCTTGTTCCATGTTAGAGTGACAGATATTTATTTCACCTAGAGAGTAAGAACGGGGACTGCCTTTATGTCTGTCAACTATCATAATTCGACACTTCTTCGAGTTGAGAGGAAGCAGGTTTTCTGTAGTCCAATTAGGGATTTTCGTAAGGTCTTCCTGGAAGATCGGAATATCCGTTGGTTCCAGTATTTCTCTCCAGATCTCCAGATCATCGGCATTTAATAGTGAATGTGAGTAAAAGACTCTTGTTAGGTCACTAAAAGAAGCAGTAGCGGGCCCAGTACATAAGTAAATATTTTGTTCTTACATTGGTAATTTAACACGAAAGAAGCCAGGTTGTAGGTATCATCATACTGATTTATGTTGGAAAATGTACAAGACTTCACGGGACCTGAATGGTACGGAATGGAGGTCATTAAATTAGATCAAAAACATAAGAAAATTACACAAGTCATGAAGTGAACGAGAAAATACCACTTTTCAGCCTATACAAAGAGTTAAAGTTTGGAACCTTGAGGCACACCACTCAGCATCGGGAACCAATCAGATAGAGAGCAGCTAACTCTCACTGACCGCAACCTGGTGTACAGATAATCTCTAAGTCAGATTAATAATTTTCCGTGTACACCTATGAGCTGAAGTTTCTTACGAAGGATACCATGGTATACCCTGTCAGAGGCTTTGGAAAAGCTGGGTAAACCAATGTGAATAGACGTTTTGCGCGACAGGGAGTGTCCAGCTATTCCAAGCTATCAACAAGTTGGTATTACATGACCTTCCTGGTAGGAAGCCATGCTGACAGTCGTTTAGGATTGATTTCTGAAGTAAGTGATCACGTAGTGAGTCATTTGTGACTCTCCATGACCTTCGCAACTGAAGAGATCAGGGAGATTGGTCTGTAGTTGGAGGCGAGTAGTTTGTTTCCACCTCTATAAATTGGGATGACAGCCACCCGTTTCCAATCAGAGGGTAACCTGCCTTCCAGAAACGAGCATTTGAAGAGGTTTGCTAGTGGGGCACGCAGAACTTCAGCACACTCCTTGAGTGCTCTTGGGTGAATACTATCGATTCCTGGAGACTTACTCGGGTTCAGTTTCTTTAATATTTCCATAATTACAGAGGGTTTAAGCTCTATGTGATTTAGTCCCTCTGTGATACGGGTGTCCGACAGAGGCGGGGTTTTGTCTCCCAAATGACAGAAGTTGTTTTGGAACTCATGAGCTAGTAAGTTTGCAACTTCGGAGTTGGAATAGAGAATCTCCAAGCTAATGGGGTTCTGTAGACTTAGTGAACTGTTACTCTTCTGTTTCATCAACGAGTACAGTATCCCATGATTCCCCTCCAGGGTTCT